CTCTCTCTCTCTCTCTCTCTCTCTCTCTCTCTCTGTCTCTCAAATAAATAAAATAAAATAAAAAATTTAATAAAAAAAATTTCCATTGGTTTTAAAGTCAATAATATTCCATTGGGTAGACCGCATTTTGTTTATCCCCTCTTCTGTTAGTGGACACTTGGATTCCTGTTTGGATTGTTGTGAATAGTGTGCTACAAATATGTGTATATGGGTATCTGCTCAAGTCTCAGTTCATCCATCCATTTGAGAATGTTCCTTGCTGCTAAAGACAGTGTTCTGTTGTATCCATTCCATTACTTTATAAATGTAAGCACACCTCTTATAAGTAAGTTGACAGCAATGAAAGTTTTGTTTTGGTGCCACTTAGACCTTTTTGCTTCTGTGTTAAATCTTATTTGCCAAAAATTATTAGTCTTAGCTTTATTAAGCCTCCTTTCAATTGTGCTGAAAGAAAGAATTGGAAACCACTCACCAAGTGAAAGCATCTGTCATATTCACTGGCTTCCCACACCTCACATCAGTATTTTTCTTGGCTTTATAGAGATTTGCAAGGCCTTAGGTCCTGAATGGGTGGGAGATGAGAAAGGCAAGTGAACGGCAAGCTTTGGGCCTCCTGGCAGGTATTGTTAAGAAAAAGACTTGGGAAAGTTGAGAACCTGGAATTAGATTCCTTTAAAACATTCCATAGAAAGTTTTATTACACTACTGACCTGAGATGTAGGTATTCTTTTTAAAAATAGCTTTAAGTATAGGCATAACTGGTAGAGGTGGTTAACAGATCATGAATGTCATTTACACGGAATGCCCATCTAATTTTTAGACAGATCCTTGTTAAGAAAAAAAATCCTTATTTTACTTGCAAGTCAGTGAAACATGCTACCCAAAACAAAGTTAAATGACAAAGTAAAGGTAGCCAAGTGGGGGGATGGAGAACAGGACAAGGATTAAAATACTTACACTTAAAAACAGTGGTGGGGGATCCAGGAGATAGCTCAAGGCCTGAGTTCAATCCCCTGTTCCGCCAAAAAAATAAGAACAGTGGTGGAAGGGCTGACCAAATAGCTCAGTGGATTAAAGCCCCTGCTTAGGCTCCCCTGCCTGCCATGCCAGCCTGAGATGGTAATTGAGACTGGGTGTGGAGGCATGCCTATAACCCCAGCACTGGGGAGGCTGGAAACAAGAGGATCACTATGAGTCCAATCTGTGCAGTGAGATCCTTTAGAGCCTGTCCTGAAAAATAAAATAAAAACAGTTGGTGGAAAGCTTCACTGTCTAATCAACTTTTTTTTTTTTTTT